GGCACAGTAATCAGGGCCTCCATCCACTCTTGCATGCGTCCTCTCCTTAAGTAATAGCAGAAAAGAAAACACAAATGGGGCGGGGGAGGAGACCAGAGCTGCTCTGCGTGCATGAGAGCTCCCAGAGCATCACTCTCATCTGCCTTCTGCCCGCGAGGCTCATGGCCAGGGATGGATTGCGTGCCCAGCACCTGCCAGCCAGGCACAAAAGACACAGCGGCGAGGAGAATCTGCAAAATCCTTGATCCTCGTGGAGCATAACATCTAGGGGGGGGAGGAATGGAGTCGGTCTTCAAATTAGATTATTCTGGTTGATTTTTAAATGTATCCACATTGTAAGATGGAAGCAGCTTTGTTTTTATTAAACAACAACAAAAAGTCAGCTCTAGGTCCAAAAACTTGAAATAACTTGCTCTCACGGGTCTAGGAGAGGCCTATTTTTAAATATTTTATTAATTTAAAGTGTGTGCTGGTGTGTACATCTGTGTGTGGGTATGTGCACGGGAGTACAAGTGCCCAGGGAGGCCAGAGGTATTGTATCCCCAGAGCTGGAGTTACAAGCAATTATGAGCTGACAAACGTGGGCGCTGGGACTCAGATTTTAGTCCTTTGTAAGAGTAGTCTGTGCTCTCAACTACTGAGCCCTCTCTCCAACCCAGGCCTAGTTTTTCACATGTCGCACAAAACCACTAAACTATCCTGTCCCCTAGTACCGTGCCTGACACAGTGAACAGACGAGGCCTGTCCTGGAAGAGGAGAAAGATGTCACTATTGATTTATCTGTTGTCGGTAGTAGATTGCGAAAATCTCCTCCCTGCATCCATCTCTTTGTAATATGCCCTGGCAACTCCTTCCACGAGAGATAGCCAGTGTGCCTTCTTCAAGTCTGGTCCGGGCTTGTGAGCTGTTTTGCATAATAGAACTTAGCAGAAGTGCCAGGTCTGAACTGGAGCCTCAAGGGCCCTCCATTTTCTTTCTCTGGGAAGCTAGTCTGTTGTCCCAGGACCACGTCTGTGCAGGCCCGTTCAAGGATAAAAGACCAAAGAGATCCGAAGTTGCTGCCTGCCAGACCAGACAGCAGCTAAGCTGGGTGCTGGCTGTAGAATACTTCAATACTGCAAGCCTACCATTCCCAGAGGAGCTGGAAAGCTGAGCCTGACAGAGCTTCACAGCAAGAACTGGGCGGTGGTGGTGCACGCCTTTAATCCCAGCACTTGGAGGCAGAGGCAAGCGGATCTCTGTGAGTTTGAGACCAGCCTGGTCTATAAGAGCTAGTTCCAGGACTGGCTCCAAAACCACAGAGAAACCCTGTCTCGAAAAACCAAAAAAAAAAAAAAAAAGAACTGGGAGACAAATAAGGAGCTGTTGTTTGAACCACAAAGTTGAAGTGGTCAATTTGTTACACAGCAAAGTTAGCTGATACACTTTTCTGACCAACAAAGCGGCTTACCGTCATACCACTGTAGATGGATATAATGGAGGTCTGTGCCCCCAAATAGAGAGCCCTGGTGAATCGAGGAATTCATAAAGGAGAAAAACAAGAGAGTGCACATAGAATTATCAGGGAATTGGTTATGTAATGAGAGGTGGCCAGTCCCACAGCAGCCATCGGCAGGCTGGAGAGCTGGGGTAACCAGCAGCAGCTTGGTCCAGGACACTAGAAGTGTGGGCGTGACCCAGTGATGCAGCCCAGCCCCTGGAGAGCAGCTGGTGTGACTTCGGGTTTGCAGGCTGAAGAAGCTGGGCTCTGAGGTCCGTGAGCCAATGGCAGCAGTCTGAGCACCTAAGCCGAGAAGGACTGAGCCTATGGTGTGTGCGAGCTTTCCGCTTCTGCTTCTTGTTCCATCCAGGTTCCCATACTGCTGGATGGTGTGCACCACAGAGAGGGCGGGCCTTTCCCCACTCAGCTTATTCACCCTCATGCCAATCCCCTGGGGATGCCCTTACAGACAGGCTCAGAAGCCTGTTCCCCAAGCTTCTAGGTGTTTCTCAATCCAGTCCAGTTGACAGCCAGGGCTAGTCACCACAGCTGGTCCACAGGGAGACCACAGTGTGACTGGACTTCAAGACAAATTCACTAAAAGCTTTGGGGACATTGTAAGCTATCTTAATGTGCAGATATTAATATTTTCTCAGAGTTTGTAAGCCTTTCCTTCATTTAAAATACATTTTCAGACACATAGTAATTGCGCGTATTCAAGGGCACAGTGTGGCATTTCAATACGGGTACATTGTGGAATGTCAGCTAGGGTAACTGTGTGTCTGCTCCCTCAGACATATCAATTCTTTGTAGTGAGAACACCTAAGTATTTGAGCGGTTGCCGAACACAGATGTGTGTCCCCATCCAGCTGCACCTGGCATCCATCAGCCATCGCCTTCTCCACGCTTCCTCTCCCATCCCTTCACTGGTACCTGGTAACCACTGTTCTATTGTCTACTCGGGGATCAACTCTTTATCAGCCATGCATCGATAAGGACGTGCAGCCCGTCCGTTTCGGGCTTATTTCACGTACCACATCCTTCAGTCCACGTAGCTGCAAATGAAAGAATTTCAGTCTTCCTTATGACCATGTAATATTCGACGGTAGGCCACAGGGTGGACTTGCCACGCTTTCTTTGCTCATCCCTGGGCAGTTACGTTGATTCCATATCTTGGGTTGGATAATTTTTTTAATTTTTATTTTATGTGCATCGGTGTTTTGCCTGCATGTATGCCTGTGTGAGAGGAACTGGAACTGGAGGTATAGACAGCAGCAAGCTGCCGTGTGGATGCTGGAAACTGAACTGTATTGACAGCTACCGTGTTGGTGCTGGGAATTGAACTCAGGTCTTAGGGAAGAGCAGTCAGTGCTCTTAATCACTGAGCCCCTTTCTCTAGCCCCTTGGATTGAATATTATAAGTGGTTCTGCAATAAACACATGGATGCAGACGTCTCTTCAGCACACTGGTTTTATTTTATATAAACACACACACACATACATACGCACACACACACACATACACTCAGTCACCCAGTCTCTTTTCACAACAAAAGGCAAATTGAATTTGGAAGGCTGTATCTATTTAGATCTAGGTTTCTAAGGGTTCTTGAATTAATTCACTCTCTCTTTGTTCTCAAAACTTTTACTTTAATAGGAATCATGCCCCCTGCCCCCTCAGTGAGACAGGCTCCATGCAAATGTTCTCACCAAACCCCAGCGGCTTGCTCCTTACCCACACACCCTCCGCCTCTTGATCTAAGTAGTTCTCTTCCCTTCCTCAGTAGCTGTAGGGAGTCTGAGAACACCCTCCAAGTTTCTTCTGAGTTGACTCTGTAGTTTTTGCTTTAGGATGGAGTCCTATCAGTTTCTCGGGAGATGTTAAAGTCCCCTGACCTAGGCCATTCCGGATATCCAGTCACCCAGCTGAGGTGTAAATGTTCAGAACTCATTGTCCCTGCTCTTCAAAGTGTCTGAAAGGTTTTGCAAGTTTAAAAAAAATAGTGAAAACATCACACACAACAGGGCATTTTATTTATTTTAGGGGTACTGGGGATTGCCTTATACTAGGTAAGCACTCCACCACTGAACTCTATCCCCAGCCTTTCCCCCCTCTTTACTATTTTGAGATAGGGTCTCACTAATTTGCTAGCCTTGAACTTGCTTTGTCGCAAAGGGTATAAACGACCCACTGAATCACAAAAAGTGAATAACCGAATGAATGAACAATCTATATTAGCAAGAGAGAAGTCCTTACATTTCCTGGAAATTTTGGTTTCTGGCGTTGAATAAATGAAGCCATGTTAAGGTAGCCCTTTGCTTTGAACCAGCGTCGTCAATCATCCCTTCCCCTTCCCCAGACTCTCAGGCTTGAACAGAGGTCAAGTCTGGAGGTCTTGCAGCCGTACTAGCATTGTGATCGTAAGGGCACAGGAACGAAAAAGCCAGCACTCCATATCCGGGCGTGTGGAAAGGAAGGAGGCTTGGACTTTGGTAGTGCCGTCACACCGAACTGGCACGGTGCCAGCCACTCCTAACCCAGAGCTTCTCATTTGGAGAGGAAACTTAAAAGAGTCCCTGTCTCTTTAAGCCTCTATTACACTGTCTGCTACTTGCAGCTCTGTGTGTGTGTGTGTGTGTGTGTGTGTGTATTCCTATTGTTCACACTTACGGGGATTTAGAGATATTAAAAACTTTGTGAACATTAATGTTATCTTATTATTAACCTTCCCTGGTGACACTGGATTTATTTCTGACTTGCTGTAATGCAACCGTCACATGTAGAGTTAACCAGGGCATCTTAGGTGGTGCACGGTTTCCCTTAGAGGTGGCTGGCAACTTGTGGACACACCTGGCGTGCACGCTCTGCAGAAAACATTTTCTCTCTATCAGGAGGGCATCATTGCCCAGGGGCTCCTTGCAGAGACACGCAAAAAGCCCCAGGAGATGAGACTGGATGTTGTAATTGTATTTGCTGAAACAAAATTCAACTAGTAAATTTAATTATCCCTGGTTGTTAGGCTGATCGCTTTTCGTTTGGATTCCAGTGTGGTCTCCAGAACTCAAGAATGAGATGAAGAACAGAGGAGAAGGGGCTGGACTTCAAGGCCACAAGTAAAGCAAGAAGGGGCCTGCAGATCTCCTGCAGGGGAGTGTGCAGCCAGCCTTTCTCTGCCTGCGTGCCTGATAAAAACCCCAAGCCACATGCACTTAGCTTTTGCATCTGGCAATCAGATTAGCCAAGAAGAACACGTGCTTGGGAGGGTGGTTAAGCAATGGAATTGTTTAGTACAAGCTTTGAGAGCTCTCTCTCTCTCCCCACCCCAAGGTAAGGAGAGAAAGAGGGGGTGAAGGAAAGAAAGAGGATAGGGAGGGAGAAAAGAAGGATGGGGGGATGAGAAAGGGAAAAGGACTGGGCTTTCTATGTCTCAATCAGCTGGCAGTGTTCACAGGGTCCCCGATGGCCTCCTGCCCCTCCCTACACATCGCTCATTTTTATTTTTTATTTTTTGCTCTGTAGGGACAAGGTAACTTGTAATGAGAAGGATGAGAAGAAGGCAAAGTTGCTCTAAGTGGAGTTCAGGGCCTGGAGCCTTCTGGTTGGTTGCTACCTAGGGCACACCCCGCCTTCCCGACACCCCCCCCCCGGGGGTGGGCGGCACTAAACGCTGGAAGTCTTGGAGCACAGGGGCTCTGCCGTCTGACAGGTAGGACTGACTTCTCCAGGTTGGCTCTGACTTTACCACGGAGCGCCATCGTAAAGCTGGGGTTTCCTCTTAGAAAGCCCTCTCGCTGTGAGGAAACATCTTCCCCAGGGAAGCACAGTGGTCCCTCTCATAAACGCTGCTGAACCAGAACCGTGCAAGCCTTTCAAGGGGCACGGCTTTTGGGGACTGCAGTGCCTCACGCTGGCCACAGCGGCGAACGGGCGCCACCTGCAGGGAACGAGGAATAGGAAGCGCATTTTATAAAACGTAGACTGGCTGTAATTATATCAATAGCAACATTTTGAAGAATGTTTTGAAATTAAATTTTCCAACTTTTAGCCTCCTCTCTTCTCGGAAGTCTGTGCGTCACAAGGCTCACGTTCACGCAGATTCTGTCTGGGATTCGCCTTGTGTAGTAGAGGCAGAACTGTCTCTTCCAGCAATAGGTGTCCCAGCTGCACCACTGGTCACACATCAGGGACAGATTTAAGAAAAATCTCCCATTAAACCGCACCTCAAAGTCCTATGCATGGTTGCTCTTCAAAGCCAGTCGTGGAAATGATTGGTTTGGATTCAGGTCTCCGGAAGCTGAGTTTCTTCGATATTCTATTAGGTGAATGAACAGAAGTATTTTGCTAGATTTTGCTAGATCCATGCTAAGAGCTTTTAGTATTATATAATGCATTTGTGTATCTGTGTGGTCTTCTCAGCAGCCTTAGCAACTGAGATGTCATTATTGCCTGTCCTGGCTCCAGAAACCACATGAAAGTGGGTGAACACCATGTCCCCTGCGCGCACAGTTTGCAAGCATGTGACTGACTTTTGGTGTTTGGCTCCAAATTTGGAATTCCCAACCATCACCCCCTGCTGCTTGTGAGATAAAGATCAAGAAGAGCTCTCAAACTGGAGCTTAGTGTTTTGTTTCTAGATGTTTCTATTTCAGCCTGCATGTATTTTTGGCATTTTTTTTTTCCCATTTGCACCTAAAAATAGCAAATATAACCCTAGTTTGGTAATGAAAAAAGTCTATGATATTTTAGGAACTGTTCTTTTTCCACATGGATTTTTTTTTTTTTAGAAATCAAAAGCAGAAAGATCTCTGGGAAATCTCCAAATATTTACTAAAAACAACTTCTAAATAATACATGGATCGAAGAATAAAAACAGAATTAGAACATTTTAGGCATGAGTGAAACTGCAGAAACATAACCCTTCTTTGGTCTGCCAGGGAAGCGAGCAGTGTTGAGGAGCCCTATCCAGAGTTGGTCTCCTTTCCCAAAGATGTGGGAACCAGCGGCGTTTCAGAATGCGTGCTTAGATATTGCCACTTCAACAGGCCTACCTAGGACACCCCAATCCAAAATATACTCTGAAACCTGTAACTTTTTGCACATTAATTCTCAGATACTTTTTGGGGAAATTTTGGATTAGGGATATTCGGTCTGTTCTATTAAATTCTTGGGTTATTAAAAAAGTCTCTAATTTATAATATCAGCATCAAATGTACAAAATCAGGGGCGGGAGAGTAAGCTAAGATGAACATAGTGCCACACAGCTGTCGCCCCAGGCTCAAGAAGTTGATGGATAGTCTATGCAAGCAGATCAAACATGGAGAACTTACCTCCAAAGACCCCTCCCAAACAGCATCCCCACAAAACAAAATTAAAACAAGAGTATGCAGAAAGCAAGCAGAAAGGTAAATAAAGATATTGTAGTATTTAAATTACACTTTCTTATTTGTATGTGTGTGCACACCCACACGCCGCAGAGAACGTGTGAGTGTCAGAGAACAACTCTTAGGAACCTTTTCTCCCTGCATCATGTGGGTCTTTTGGTATGGAACTGAGGCCCTCTGGCTTGGCAGCAAGCACCTAGACTTCGCCAGACACCTCACCAACCCCTTGGAAATAATTTAAATAAAGAAAGAAAAAAAGAATTGAACAAATTAAAAAAAGCCCAAGCCAGTTAAAAAAAAAGTTAGCAAACCTCAGAAAATACAGAGATACTTGAAAATCGAAGAATAGACTTTACTATATGAGTGCATCATGTGTGGTGTATCGGCACGTGTACTTACATGTTTATGAATACATGTATGTTGTGTAGAGGGGCATGTACACAAGGATGCTTGTGTGTGCGGAGGCCTGAAGTTGTTGAAGGGTGTTTTCTGGATTTCTCTTCATTTACTGAAGCAGAGGTCCTGCTGAATCTGGAGCTCACCAATGCTGGCTAGTCCAACTGGTCAGCTTACTCCAGGCATCCCTGGTCTTTGCTTCCCAGGTGTTGGGGTTACTGGTGGCCACCACGTCTGCCCAGCTTCTCTGTGGGTTCTGGAGTTCTGAACTCTGCTCCTCACACTTGCATGACAAACACTTTACCCAAAAGCCATGTTCCCACTCCAACAATACATTTTATGAAGTAGATTTTATTTATTATTGTTGTGTGTGTTTTAATGTGTATGTGTGTGTGTATGTACCATGGCATGCGTGTGGAGGCCAGAGGACATGTTTGTTGAGACAGTTCTCTCCTTCCAGCCGTTCTTGGGTTCTGGGGATTGAACTCGGGCTGTCAGGGATGCATCGTCTCAGGCAGCAAGCATGTTTGCCCACTGAGCCATTTGTTGACGCAAATAATAATATACTTTTGAAGGAACAGTGTTGGGGTTGTTTGAATATAATTGGCCCCCATAATCTCATAAGAAGTGGCACTATTAGGAGGTGTGGCCTTGTTGGAGGAGATGTGTCACTGTGGGGCAGGCTTTGAGGTTTCCTATGCTCAGGACACTGTTGGGTATGGTAGTCAATTTCCTACTGCCTGTAAGAGCACTCTCAGTTCCAGGACCTTGTTTGCCTGCATGCTGCCATGCTTCCTGCCGTGATGATAATGGACTGAATCTCTGAAACAGTAAGCGAGCCACCCCAATTAAATGTTTTACTTTATAAGAGTTGCCATGGTCATGGTATCTCTTCACAGCAATAGAAAACCCTAACTAAGACAACATTTTTTTTTTTTTTTTATAATTTGGACCACCTGAAACTAAAGTGAAGTGTTTTGAATTAATTCTGTTAGCAGAAGAAATCTCAAAATAGCATAGTAATAGATTCTGTCATATGGATATTAGTGGTAACGCTAATGAAGATTTATAATGAAAAGGAGCAAGCTGAGCAGAATAAATTGCAAAGTGTATTTTGTGGCGCAAAAGAGCACCAGGAAGTGGACTGAAGCTAAGTCCTGTGTTCAAGAAGATAATCGGATTAAGAAATGGAATAAAAGGAGAGGTGACCTCAGGGCAAGATTCCACCCAGCTAAGTTTCCAATTTGTGAAAAGAAATGAAAGAAAAACTTAGAGCCTGGTACGGTGGAACACACCTTTAATCTCAGTACTGGGAAGGCAGAGGCTGGCAGATCTCTGAGTTAAAGGCCAGTCTAGGCTACAGAGAAAGTTTCAGAACAGCCAAGGTAGGCAGTGAAAAACAGAAAACTGATGAAGACGTAATTCAACCAGGGGACCATGTTCCAGCCCCAGCAAGAAGCACAACTTGGCAGCTCTGCCATCTGGTTCTGGCTTTAGCATTAAGGATAGAAGAAATGGGTTATAGAATTTACCTAGGCAACTAAGGCCACACATGCGTTGGGGTGTCCCTGAATGGAAGCCTAGTGGAGAGGTCATTGCATGAAACTGTGAAGCTGAAGCCTGGATTGCTTTGGAATTCCCAAGATGTTAGAGATGCCAGAGTCCTGGGATACCTGCCGAGGAGAGTTAGCTAACAGGGGGTGGAACCAGCCCAAGAGAAAGAAGTGTGTTGCAGTCAACAAAGCTGAACATAGTTGGAGATCTGAAGAGTGTTTTGACATCAGACACGGAGATGCAGAGTCTGGAGTTTGCCCACTTTGTTTTTGATCTTGCTTTGGTCCAGTATTTCTTCACTACGCTCCCCTTCCTGCATGTTGGAATGACAATGTATATCCTGTGCCATTATATGTTGGAAGCATCTGATCTGATTTTTGATTTCCATTTTTACAGGTGATTACAGTTAAGAGATCGCATGAATCTCAGAAGAGACTTTGAACTTGGAAACATTGTTGAGACTGTGGCAAACGATGGGAACATTTGAAGTTGAACTAAGTGAATGTTGTATTATGATAGTGTTACAAGCTTATGGGGGTCAGGGGGTGGAATGTGGTAGTTTGAATGTAATTGGCTCTCATAATCTCATAGGGAGTGACACTGTGAGGAGCTGTGGCTTTGTTGGAGGAAGCGTGTGTCTGTGGGAGCAGGTTTCCAGGTTTCCCATGCTGAGGATACTACCAAGTGTGACATTCGACTTCCTATTGCCTGCAAAATGTATCATTCAACTCCAGCACCATGTGTGTCTACATGCTGCCATGCTCCCTGCCCTGATGATAATGGACTGAACTTCTGAAACTGTAGGCAAGTCACCGTAATTAAATGTTTTCCTTTATTATAAGATTTGCCGTGGTCATAGTGTCTCTTCACAGCAATAGAAAAACCATAATTAAGACAAGCGTCATTCAAAAAAGAAGTCGTTGAGGAAATCAGGGATTAGATTGAAGAAATTCTTAGAGTCAAATAAAAGTGAGACCAAAATCTACCAGAAATTTTAGGATATGGCTAAGAGAACCCTAAGAGGAAAGGTTATGGTTATATGTGTCCACATTTAAAAAAATCAGAGAACTTGCAAATAGATGACCTCAGATACCTCAAAAGTCTAGAAAATCAAGGAGATTCCAAAGAAATAATAAAAATCGGTCCAAAATTAATGTACAACATGATTCTAAGCCTTTAAGTTTTCCATTAGTCATGTCTTCTCATCCTAAGAGATTATTTGGATGGCATGTAGATTGCCTTCCAGGAGGGACATTCTATCTTCTAGCTTTCCATAACTTTTAACAGATGTTGATTGTCAATTTCAACAGTATGAATCCTTTCAGATCATCTCATAGTGCCAATCTGTAAGGGTTCATATCCAGTGATGTGGAGTAAAATTTGCCTGTCAAATTATGGTTATCATTTTCAATGGTATGAGTCCTTTCAGCCAACGTCTCATGACTCGTTTGTAAAGTCTGTATCATTTCTAAAAGTTTCTCATTCTTGACTCTGCTATCAAACAATTTCTGGGGCTGGAGAGATGGCTCAGAGGTTAAGAGCATTGCCTGCTCTTCCAAAGGTCCTGAGTTCAATTCCCAGCAACCACATGGTGGCTCACAACCATCTGTAATGATATCTGGTGTCCTCTTCTGACCTGCAGTCATACACACAGATAGAATATTGTATACATAATAAATAAATAAATAAATAAATATTTTTTTTTTAAAAAAAGACTATAATATGAAGCATCAAACTTCGCTATGGCTAAGAATGTACACACCCCAGGTATGTCATATGCCTCTTCTAGAACTTCTCCCATAGTAGGAAAGGTTTTGAAATTCCTGGATGGTGATATTGTCTGCTAAATTAAAATCCTGGTTAAAATACTGGTTCAGATGAGAATTTTAAGGTATAATAATGCTGTGGGCCAGCAGACATTATTATACCTTGGTTTTACTGCAAACTGAACAAATTTTTGTTAAAGAGACACTGTTTCTCGGGAACCACAGAAAGCTGTGGGGGACCATGGGAAGCTGTGTGGGTGCCATGCTGGGTGGCAGCAAGCTACAGGTGCCATGGGAAGTCATTGGTGGATGGGCAGGCAGGAGGGGAAGATAAGCCTGGGCAGATGGGAGTTGGGAGCATTAGTTTTTCTCCTGAACCCACATGGCTAGGTTTGGGTCTGACTCTAGCCTGTGCCATTAATTAAAAAGCCTCAGGCAAATGGTTTTTTTTTTTTTCATGAATTCATACCTCAAATTTTGGGCACTAAATGTAACATGATTAATAAAAAACCCTGAGACACATATTGGGTTCAACCTGAAGGTCAGAAAAGTGAAACAGTCAGCCCCTGGCTCTCACCTCTACCTCAGTCTGAAATGGTAAGCCTGCTTCCAGGAATCTCAGAATGAGACTGTGTGTGAGAGCTGTCTCCTGCCATTCTATATTCATCTCTAGGGCTGGGATTAAAGGTGGGCATCGACTATCACCGGTTTCTATGGCAAACTAGTCTGGCTACTGGGATTAAATTTGTGTGTCACCACTGTCTGGTCTGTAAGTCTGATCAGGGCAGCTGTTCTTACTGCTAAAGCAGTTCAAAGATGCTGGAGCTCTGTTCTTACTTATTCCAATGCTGCTAATCTGTGGATGTCTAGTCCCCGGCTGCTGCTGAGTGCCGTGTCTGGGTTCGTGGGCTGATATCAACCTATTTGGAAATGTAAAGGATCTAGGATAGCCATAATAAGTTTGAAAAGAAAAAGAAGAAAATTGAGAGCTAATCTTATCGTAAGTTCCATAGTAGAGAGTTAGTTAATCAAGGTGACATGGTATTGGTACCAAGATAGATGGTGGAGCAACTCAGGGAGTGTGAATAGACCACACTCAACTGTCAACATAGGTCTAAAGACATTCATTTAGAAGGTAGAAGTGTTGCTGGCACAGCTAGATACCAATACCCTTCAAAAGGAAGGAAGGAAGGAATAGAGGAAGAGAGGGAAGTAGGTAGGTAGGGAAGGAGGAAAGAAGGAAGGAAGGAAGGAAGGAAGGAAGGAAGGAAGGAAGGAAGGAAGGAAGGAAAGAAGGAAGGAAGGAAGGGAATCCACAAATTTTGATCCTTTCCTTTGTGATCATGTACTAAAGTTAGCTTTTAATACATTGTAGATGTAATATAAAACCCACAATTATAAAAATTTCTACAAGAAACAAAGGGAAGTCTTGTTGACAGCATTCAATAAACAGTTATCATAAACAACACCAAGAACACAACTTATAAGAGAAAAAATTATCAATTAAAAAAAATGCTCTTGAAAAGTAATGACTAAGATGATGAAAAGAAAAAGCCCAGCCACTAGTTTGAAAATTGCATGTCTGCAGGTCACGGTCTGATAAGGAGCTGCTAGCCAGGATCTAGAACTCTCCAAATACTGTAGGAAAGTTAGTATCACAGGGTGTTGGAAGACAAAAGCACCTCAAGTAAGCAAATGAAGAGATGGCAGGATGCTGGTCTTCAGAGAGGAGGAGACAGAAGACACATATACATTCTCCAGTGGCTGACACTGAGAAAACCAACATCAAGAACTGGTCAGGGTGCAGAGACACTAGAACCGTTCTACTATAACATGTGTGCAGAGACACTAGAACCGTTCTACTATAACATGTGTGCAGAGACGCTAGAACCGTTCTACTATAACATGTGTGCAGAGACGCTAGAACCGTTCTACTATAATATGACTCAGACATAGTTTGGCAATTTCTTAAAATCTCCAACACACTCCCATCTTCAGTCTGACCACTTCCGTTCTCCATGTTTATTGACAGCACAGTAAAACAGTTCCATGCAAAAACTTCAAATGTTTGCAAAGGCTAAATTCATTTTCTGTATGACAAACTCCTATAAATGTGGCGGCACAGACCAGAAGCTGCTTTTATCTTCTCGTTTCCTGGATCAGAACTCTGAACGCGGCCTGGTGTGGGGCTCAGGCTTGCACAGAGCTGAGGCGGGGTGTTGGTCGGGCTGCATTCCTCTCTAGAGCATAAGCCTTTTCCAGCTGACACTGCTGTCCTCAGCTCTTCTGGGGGTGGCAGGACTGAGGTCTTTCATCAGCTTGTTGATGATCAGCTATGCCCTACCGTCAGCTCCTAGAAGCAGTGAGTAGTTCCTTGCCTCATGGCCTTTCACAGTTCTTGTCTTCAAAGCCTTCAGGAGATCCTCTCAGGAATCTTTCGTGACCTAACGTAATGACGGGCATGACAATCCCCTCATCTGCAATCCATATTGCGTTAGCTATCAATCAGCAAGGCACAGGCTCAGTCTATACTCACAGAAGGGATTAGACGAGAATGAATTATTGCTCGTAGGACGAATTTGCCACCGTAGCTTTTCTAGGCATACAGTCAAGCTGGAAATGACTACCAAGGCTATGGCTGAGTGGCTACATTCCGGTAAGTGCTGGAATGCGGCAGAGCAACTCAGCAGTTACCACTCTCTAAAGCTGAGATGAAAGAGTTTCTGCGGTTTCTAAGCAACCAAGTTTGTGGCATTTAGTATAGCTATCCAAAAAGATCGAGACACAAAGGTGGGGAGCTGTGCTGGAGTGGGTTTCCTTCTAATTCATGAAGGCATTGTGGTTTAGGAAGGTGAGAGGTGGCATAAAGGAAGTTTCTGGTTCTTTTCTTTTCTTTTTTGTTCTTTGTAGTTTTGGAGCCTGCCCTGAAACTCCTCTGTAGACCAGATTGGCCTCAAACAAACAGAGATCTGATTGTCTCTGCCTTCCATGCTGGGATTAAAGACCTGTGCCACCACTACCCTATGAATACCTGGTTTTTATGACAAAGAAGCTAAAGATAAAAAAATTGAAAAAAGAAAGCATATTTAGCAAGTGGTACTGGAATAACTGGATATCAACATGTAGAAGAATGCAAATAGATCCATATCTATCGCCATGAATATAAGTCAAGTCCAAATGGATCAAAGACCTCAACATAAAACCAACCACACTGAACCTCATAGAAGAGAAAGTGGAAAGTACACTTGAATGCATTGGCACAGGAGACCACTTCTTAAGTATAACCCTAGTAGCACAGACACTGAGAGAAACAATTAATAAAGGGGACCTCATGAAACTGAAAAGCTTCTGTAAAGCAAAGGACACAATCAACATGACAAAATGGCAGCCTACAGAATGGGAAAAGATCTTCACTAACCCCACATCAGACAGAAGACTGATCTTCAAATATACAAAGAACTCAAGAAATTTAATATCAAAAAAAAAACAAATAATCCAATAAAAAATGGGGTACAGATCTAAGCAGAGAACTCCCAACAGACAAATCTCAAATGGTTAAAAGACACTTAAGGAAATGCTCAACATTCTTAGCCACCAGAGAAATGCAAATCAAAACAACTATGATATTTCATCTTACACCTGTCAGAATGGCCAAGATCAAAAACACTGATGACAGACTATGCTGGAGAAGATGAGTGGTAAGGGAAACACTCATCCATCGCTGGTGGGAGTGCAAACTTGTACAGCCACTATGAAAATCAGTATGGCGATTTCTCAGAAAATTGGGAAACAATCTACCTCAAGACCCAGCAGTACCACTTTTGGGCATATACCCAAAGGATGCTAAATCATACCACAAGGACATGTGCTCAACTATGTTCATAGCAGCATTGTTCATAACAACCAGAAGCTGGAAACAACCTTGACTGAAGAATGGATAAGGAAAATGCGGTACATTTACACAATGGAGTACTACTCAGTAGAAAAAAATAATGACATCTTGAAATTTTCAGGCAAATGAATGAATCTAGAAAAAAACATATTAAGTGAGGTAACCCAGACCCAGAAAGACAAAATATGATATGTACTCACTCATAAGTGACTTTTAGAAATAAAGCAAAGAAAAACCAGCCCTACAATCCATAACAACAAAGAGGACCCTAAAAGAGTCACACACAGGACTACAGAGGAAGGAGAAAAGATAAGATCTCCTGAGTAAATTTGGAACATGGGGGTCACAGGAGAAGGTTGAAGAAAGAGGGAAGAAAGAAAGGGGAGTGAAGAAAAATGTAGAGCACAATAAAAACAATTAAAAAATGTTCTGTGAAAAAAGGAAGTTTAATCAGCTAGATATAACTTCTAAAGCCTCTTCCCTGAGGAATATCTTCCATAGGTGCTACGTAAGCAGCCACAGGAGGGAAAGAACCCAGTCTTACCCAGACCTGATGCTTCTAAGCCACATCAACGGCCAGCACAACAAGATGTCCTTAAAGTGTAATAGTGACTCTCCTTTCTTGGCAGTAACCAATAGCTGTGTCACTGGACACCGGCCCACTTAACGGGAAGGCAATCGCGCCTGGTCTGGAAATGCAGCCAGCTCCCTCTGACTAGTGAGATCATGGGACCTGGAGAAGAAGGAACTACTGCCACCTTCCCAAACACTGTAATTCCTGACTGCGCACTAAACGCCTTTCTTTACTGTCAGAGAGGAGTGCAGCGTTCCTTGCTCCTCAAAGAAACTTCTCTTTGAAGTTGACAGAGACAAGTCCAGAAAGCCATAGGCGGTCAAAATGAAGTGAACAACTGGTCATGGCAGTAGGGTGTCCAGCCCAAACGGCTACATTTACAGTACAACCCCTCATCTAAGACTCGGAACATCACAGAAGAGGGGGTGGAAAGGTTCTGAGAATCTGAGGACGAGGAAGTTTTCTGTGAGAGTGTGTCTCTTAGAAATGATAGGGAATAAATGCAGGTGCTTAAGCAAGACGAAAACAATGAGAACACTGATAGAAACATGAACATGGAAAGGACTCTTCCAGGGCCCTGGTCCTTGACTAAGAGATACAGGCAATTAAACACCGCTGATTGAAGGAGAACTAGTCATTACCAGAAATGGCACCCCGATAGGTCCCCCAATACCAAGTGGTCAGCTTTAAAACATAGACATGAGAGCAACACTAAATGAACTCATCAGGTTGTACTTTACATATTCACACACAATAATACGAAAAAAAAAGCCACAAATCTGAGTTAGATGGAGGTCATGGGAAGAGTTAGAAGGAGTGGGAGGTGAGAAATAATATATTAAATTTTTAAAATTGAAATAAAAAAATTAAAAATGCTACAACCTTCATCTTGTCTACTGCTTTTGAGAGCTTATGCTAGAAAGTGGTAGAAGGGCGGGAATAAGAGTGTGGGTTTATCATCTATCTCTAGAGGGAAACAGTTCCAGGCTTGATGATTAACCGACCCAAAGTGATGGGAACCTCCAGCTTTTGTCTTAAGATTGTCCCTCTGACTGCAAGAAGGAATTCGAGGCAGGAGGATGACTGTGGAAGTGGAGAAGAGGGAGAAAGAGTTCCCACTGGGGCGTCTCAGATGCACATGGTCCTCTCAAGCGGAGATGCTGTTTAAGGCCATGGAAAGATCAAAGAAGCAGAACCTGGGTGGGAGGTAAGACTCTGGGAGACTACATGAGAAGGGGTAGAGACTGGCACCGGGCTGAGCGTCAGTAGAAAGGATGCCTCTACTGGAGACAGCATGAGTGATGGGACACAAGGTCACACCACCCTGTCCTGTTGGCTAGTATCTCTATTCCCACCTCACCCATTCCCTTACTCCACCATCAGATATCAGGGCTACAGGAAATGAAAGCAAGTGTGACCCCTTGCCCTGAAGGGAAGGGATTATGTGGGCAAGAAATACCATACAAAGCAGCTGAAGACAAAGAAATGCTTTTGATTGGCTATCGTGGTCCATTTGGGGTTTGTTTCCACGTATTTGCCATCCTAACACGGCACTGGAGACGTGGTTCAGACACCTCCTTCTGTGGCTGTGACCACCACTTAAGGCATTGCCCTCTCGATCCCGAGTAAGTCATTTGTAAGAGTTCTCATCAGGTGTGAGACTCTTCGTTGTACCAAATCAGATGTGGATCGTGACTTGGCTCTTGGCTGTATGTGGCATTTCTTGAAGGAGGAAAAAACCTGGGACAGCTGTCAGAAGTGTGTAACCCTGCTTGGGGGTTAGGCAGGGAGAACAGCTAGGCGGCACAGGTGTCAGGGATTACGATCGGCTGAGGCCTTCCTGTCTGAACTATCCCAGGCAGACTTGGGGCATTTAGCTAACCCGGGGAGTACCCACAGGATCAGATGCCATGCTGTAGAATGGTTTTCTATTTCGTAGAATTAAAGACTGCCTGATAATTGGACCCAGAGTTGGACTTACATGCCTGTGTGGATATGCACTGGTGAACGCATGGCAATAAGGATTGTTTTAAAAGGCATAGCCCAAGGTTAAGAGCACACACCGCCCTTCCCACGGGCATGACAATCGTTCCTATTACCCACACCCGGCAGCTTCTAACTCCAGCTCCAGGAGAGCTCTCTCCTCTGGCCTCCTTAGGGATTGCACACACATGCACATACTCACACACAAACATATATGCGCATGGTTAAAGGTGAAAAAAAAAAACAATCCTTTAAGAAAGGGAGTGGCTGAGAGGCCCAGTAAGCGTGGTTGGGCTTATGCAGTGTTACATTCTTTGATCATCTTAACAAGTTTAGATGACAATCAGAGGTTAGGTTCTACTGCCTAGCATGTCCAAATGTGATATCAACTAGAGGGATAGAGAGTGTGGTGACCCCTGCCATTGATAAATCTGACTTAGACGGTGTATGGAGGGAAGGAGGGCTGCAGGCTGTGGCAGGGGTGCATTTTGTCATGCGAGAGTCCCGGCACATGTACAAGCCGAGGCATTAAAAAGTTAGGGAACAAAGGAGATGGATAGATAGGAGGGGGTGGCTGGTGGAGGTCTAGGAAAACTGAAGACTGGCTGGTGGCATCTCCTCCCTTGATTACAGAGGACAGGAGAACCCAGGCGGGGGCCGGGGAAGTCACAGTTACCTCTACTTGGGTTAGGCCTTTCCCTCCTTTCCTCCTGCAGCATTTTTCCTAATCCGCCTGTTACCGGTATGAATTGAGCTCCAGTGCCCCGTGGATTGTGGGGGAAAAGGACAAACAGCATTGACAGAACGCTGCAGTGAGCACTTGATTTTGACTGAGTTCCCAGCAAGAACAAAGTTTGAAACATCCAGAGCAAGCAGTTCACTGATTTATAGAATTTTATACTTGCAGGCACTGACAGGGGTAGAGAGCGGGACCCAGGTTCTCAGCATCTTCCATGGTTGCTCCCGTGAGGCTACATGATGACTGGGTGCTGTAGAAAATCCTTGGATGTTAATCATCATAGTTCAGAGACTTGACATCAAGAGCATTGGTCCAGGCCAGCAGGTTGTCCACTTCCTCTTCCCATGACTCGCTTGACTCAGCTTTTTCAGACCAATTTTCATGTTTCCACTTCTGTTCTAGTTCATAAAACCTTGATTCACTTTCTATAGACTCATAAGAAAGCTCAGCTGTGGTGGGAAACACGAAAAACAGAAATGTATTGGACTTAAGTGGGATAAACAAAGGAATCCTAATGCCACAATCATCTGACTGATAACATACAACCTTTTAAAACATCCTTTTTATATAAAGTGTGTGTGTGTGTGTGTGTGTGTGTGTGTGTGTGTGTGTGTGTTCAGTGCCTGTAGAAGCTGGAGAGGAGGGAGGTTGCATCCCCTGGAGCAGGAGTTGCAGGTGGTTGAGAGCTGGCCTATGCAGGTGCTGGGGATCAAACTGCTGTCCTCTGCGAGAGCAGCAAGAACTCTTCATTGCTGAGGCATCTCTCCAGTCCCCCTCCCTCTTCAACCTTCATCCTGTCCTTTTTCCCCTCAACCTTTTCCTCACTCATTGCTTGGTCCAACTGACCTATCTTTTTAACTGGCTTACGGTTGTGTGTTAGGAAAAGGCATTCTGCCAGCAACCTCGCTGAGATGGAAGATAGTCTTCCCCGGCTCCAGCTTCAAGGCTGTCACAAGCCTTGTGAGAGTCTGAGCAGAGGGTCAGCTCAGATATGCCAGAATTCCTGGCACACAAAAACTATGAGCTCCTAAGTGTGCACTGTAGGAATTTCACACAGAGGATGACATGGGCAAGAGAGATGCGCTGTTAGAGCTCTTGGGAGACTTCTAGAGAGGCCGACATGAGCTGAGCAAGCCTTATGAGAAACAGAGAAAACCAGAGGTGTTTTGGATTTCTGGAATCTGCCTGCACACAATGAAATATCCTGGGATGGCCCAAGCCTCATTCCAAAACTTATCTGTGGTTGAGGGAGGGTGAGTATAGAACACACTGGATGAAATTCACAAAGAACTAATAAAATTTTTAAAAAAGCTATACACCTCATGACCTGATGATAGTTTCCTACGATGTATTAAATAATTTCACACATGGAACAACATGACAATATGCTGACACTCTAAGTTTTGGAGCATTTCCGGTATCAGATTTTTGCATTAGAGATGCTCACTGTATATTTGAATTGAATGAAAAAGGATACCTAGGTACTAGAATATTAAGAAGAGAGAATAGCTGGGTTGTGATGGCAAATGCCTTTTATCCCAGCACTTGGGAGGCAGAGGCAGGCGGATCTCTGTGAGTTCGAGGCCAGCCTGGTAGCTGGGGCTACAGAGTGAGTTCCAAGAGGGCCAAAAGCTACACAGAGAAACTTTGCCTTAGGGGAAAAAAAGTGTTTAGAGTGGGATACAAAGAAACAGTGTACTTTTCTAAATAATTAAAATAATGCAGAGAATAAAGAAAGAGTAAAGAGATGTCACCCACTAGCTGGAGGGATAAGAGTAAGAGGTGTTATTCAAAACGACAGACAGGTATGGGAAAACCAAACAACCTCAGTTTCACCCTGATGGAAATGGGACGAGATGAAAGGATTTGTGATCTGGTGACAAGAGCAGACATGAGCAGTGGAGGCCAATCGGACAGAGCACGGGTAGACACCACTATTTGCATCAATGTCAACAACAACCACGGCTACAAAGCAGTGTCCAAGCATTTGGCTTTGGCTACTTTTTCACAGTTTTAAACTTAGCCTCAACTTTTCAAATAGTAACACGTTAAGAAGCATAGCAAGCTTGAAAGTATAAAAAATATAGTTCACTTTAACAATCTTTAATTCCTATGTAATTGGTTTAGTGGACTGATGTTGGTACAGTTGAAGCATACTTTTTAAGCCTCATGCACTCAAACTTATTTGAGCTGAGCAATAATTTATTATTACAAACAATAGCTTAGATATAAAAGAAAAAAAAAACCAAGCTGAATCCAATTTACTTGGAGATGAGTCGACCGTTCTTTGGACGGAGTGATCTCTACTGCGCCCTGACGATTTATTTTCTTTATCAAACCGATACTTAGCGAGCTCAAACCTATAAAATAAAAGAAATAAAAGGCATCTATAAACTATGGGAAGTGTATATTAATTTGAGGAAGATTTGATTTCATTCAAACAGGTTGAATGAAACAGAAAGGTAGGACAGAGGCCGAGAGCCATGGGCTTGGGCATGGTGCCATTCTTGGACACGGTGACCAGCAATGACATTATTTTAGTCTGTGCTCTCCAAAGGGGCAGTGGTGAGAGAAACAAACGTGCTGGGGATGGATATGGTACATGCCGTCATATTGCACAGGTAAAAATAGTCTGCTGCATAGCAAGGGCCCCCATGACAAATGACCACAGACTTGGTGCCTTAAAATGTCCCTTTTCCCCCTGCCCTACATGTGCCCGGGATTCCCAGTGGATGCCTAGAATCAAGGCCAGTGCCGCCAGGCCCTACACACACACAACTTCTCTACATCCATGCATACATTTAATGCCTCTTATGTCTTAACTTGTCACCCTGCAGGGAGGGGCAATGACGCTAAGACTCATTTCTTTTTCTCTTCTCACAAACGGAAGATGCAACCCCAGTAACCTCAGCATGAATGTTATTGGAATTTTGATGACATTTGTGTTGCGTCTATAGATCACTTAGTGATATAATACAGTCATTTTCCTCGCCAGTTTTAGAAGCTCGCTTTGCTGGATATAGTACTTTGGGTTAGCAGTCATTTCCAGAGCTTGAGAGATGTTACGCCATGCTTTCCTGGCTTTGCGGGTGGCGGAAGGGAGCACTGACACAGTCTGATGTATTATTAGCCTTTGTGGATGAGCTGGTGCTTTCTGTTTCTCCTTTCTCTAATGTGTGCAAGTAATCACAGGCCAGAGGACGGTCTCAGGTGTCCTCTGTCTTAATGTCCATTTATTTCTCTAGATTTAGAAAATTTTCTCTTCTAATTTCATAGCATAGATTATAATTTTTTATTCCATTATAAATATTTTTTTCCTGCTCTGTGGATTCTGATTTAGTAAGGTCTTCTGATCATATCCTGGAGTTCCTGGGCACAGTGGAGATGACTTTTTTATTCCCCTTTATGAATGTTTGAGTACAGTGTTGTGTTGTGGGCTTGTCTGCCACCTCTGATAGTCTTTCTTCTCTTGGTTGAGTGTACAGGTATTACACAGTGGTTTGTTGAAATAAGAAGCGTCAGGGCTGCGTCCCCAACACCCCGGCCGCTTGGCTAGCTCATGCCCGAAATAATAACACACAAACTGTATTCATTTAAGAACTGCTTGGCCCATGAACTCTAGCCCTTACAGGCTAATTCTCGCACCTGGACTAGCCCATTTCTAATGATGTGTGTAAGCACCCCAAGGTGCGCTTACCGGGAAGATTCTAGCCTCCGTCCATCATGGTGTCTCTGCTCCAGAGAGCAGAGCTGTTGAGTCTCCGGGAGCAGAGCAGAGTCTGACCTCACTTCCTCTTCTGCCCAGCATCCTATTCTGTTTATTCCACCCACCTATCTTTTAACCTATCAGGGCCAGCAGTTTCTTTATTGCTCAGCCAATGAAATCAACAGATTGATATGACACTCCCACATCAGTGGTTTTACTTGGTTGCTGAGGTTTTTAATTTTCAATGTTTCCTTTTCTTTTCTTTTTTCTTTTCTTTTCTTTCTCTTTTCCTTCCTCCCTCCCTCCCTCCTTCCTTCTTTCTTTCTTTTTGAAACAGGACCTCCTAACACTTTAATTTTTTCCTTCACATTCCTGACTTTTCCATCCACATTGCTGGCTTCAGGCCACTGCTCATTTTGCTGGCAAATGGCTGGGTTCCTTTAGCCGGTATTTTACCCATTTCGGGGTCTTTGATTGGTTGTGAGGATTGGATGGCCTTTTGGAGGTGCCAAGTTGAAACCATGGGAGACATCATGATTCCCATGTCACCCCAATGCAGGCTTTACTAATTGTCTCTCTATTGCTCCAGGCTTACTGTGCACACTGCTGAAGTGAGTCCAACTGCTACACTTTCAAGTTCACTGAAGAGTATTCTCTGGTCTTCCTATAGAAAAGGGTGTGTGGGTGTGTTTGCAAATATTACTTTTAATGAAATTTTAAGCTGTATATACACATTTATATAATTTTAGCATATTGATAAAGTTTAATATATTATAAATAAGCATATATAAAATTGTATATATGTATCCATACAGTATGCATTTTTACCATACTGATTTATTTTTAATCTATAGATGATCTTTGTTCTTTTGCATGTCTTCTATTTATTTCTTCTTCATTTTCAAGGTTTTATTTTCACTGAAAATAATTTTTCCCCCCACACAATGTATTCTAGCCATGGTTTCTGTCCCTCATCTCCTCCCGGCTCCTCCTCACCTTCCCACCCATCCAACTCCATACCCGCCCCCCTTTTTTTGTTTGTTTTTTCGAGACAGGGTTTCTCTGTAGTTTTGAAACCTGTCCTGGAACTAGCTCTTGTAGTAGACCAGGCTGGCCTTGAATTCACAGAGATAGATCCTCCTGTCTCTGCCTCCCGAGTGCTGGGTGTGCGCCACCGCAGCCTGACTTTTTTTTCTTTCCCCCTTTCTTTAGAAAACAGACAGGCAAATAAGAAAACAAACCAAAATACAACAAAATAAAGAGAGGAAAAAGCAGAAATAAAGAAAAGTCATGAGAAGCACATACACACACACACATACACACACACACATACACAGGAAACCCATAAACCCACAAAATCAAAAACCATAACATATAAGCAAAAGTCAGTAAGGTTAAAAAATTGCTCAGGCAAAGCATTAGGAGACAAAAACAAAAAAATCTCCAAAAGTACTGAGTTCGTTTTGAGTGGGCCATCATTTATCAGATACGATATTGCGGCTTGAAGGTCCTTGTCTACTAACACTATCACCAATGTTAATGACTTCTGGCCAGGGGTCACAATCCTGCTTATATTCATAACTAGTTGTTTGGTATGTGAGGATAAAAACTGTAATTTTGAGTCGTTGGGCTCTGAATTTTCTTATCTTTTCTTTAAGTGCGTATGTGACTCGGTGCCTTGCATCAGCTTGAAACCTCCTTGGTCAGTTCTTTTTTCTTTCTTTTTTTCAGCTCTAGGACAGTCTTTTACTGGGGGCTAGATGCCTCTCACGCCCACCTGATGTTCATTCTCTCTCTGGCAGGGTCTGGTTGGTGGAGCCCAGACCAGCTTTAAAATTTCTGTAGGTGAGAATGACTTTGAACTCATTGATCTTCTTGCCTCCACTTCTCAAGCTCTGGGATTACAGGACTGTGTGAACAGGCCCAGTCTTCCAATGTCATAAGGTCTCTCCGCTCAAGGCCACAAGAGCACAAAGAATTCCCAGGTCTGTGTCAGCTCCAGAAGAGTTAAAAAAAAAAATGCTTGTTCATTTAAAAATTCTTACATAATGTCGAGAGTACTATAAGTTGCAACAAGCTCCTGAGAAGTAGATTCATACGCATTGTGGGAATCATGAAATTAGCTTGTTCTTCCACAAACAAGCCAACTGTAGGTAACACGCTTTAATAAGATTTCTTGTCTCATTCTCCTACTGAAACATAATTTAATATGCTTAAGGGAACAGAGTCCTCTTTCCTTGCATTTCCAGGAGTTGGGCAGAGGGGAAGGAAGGCAGGAGAGAGACTAGAGCAGGCCTGAGCCCTTCAGACTTCCAGCGGAAGCGAAGAGAAACAGAAGGGACCCATGTGCATTTATTGCGTTTCCTCTACACCGCTAGAGAAGTGGAGGGCAGCAGGCTCAACCCTACTCTTTAAGTCAGGGTCCACCAAGTCTCTGCCACAGTCCCAAAGCCATGGTAAATTGGTGAGATTGATTACCTCCATGAGAGGAAGAGAAAAGAACCAAGAATTCATTAAAAGATGTTTAAGGAACTGGATACGTGGATTTTCAAAAGGAGAGCTTGCCGCTGAGGAGGAAAGGGCCACAGCCCTCTTCTGAGATGAGTTTCACGCGTGCCAGAGACAGCCGGTCTAGGATGTTCCAGAATGAGCTGCGAGCTGGTTCTGCCCTGACCTATTGGAATCACACGTTCTCCCAGCTCCAGCCCCGCCCCAGGCCCTCAGTGCCTGCCCTGGCGCCTGGCTGAGGCAATGCATGCCAGAATCTAAATTTCAGCTGTTAGGAAATGTGTAACCTTAGAGAGCTTAAACTTTATTTATTTACTTTAATTTTTACCCTTTTTTTTTTTTTTTGCAGTTTTATAACGTGCAGCTACTCTCTAATTTCCTGGACGGTTTCACGGGCAAGTGGAAGGCGTTAGGAATGTTGAACACCGTCAGGTGTTGGAAGTAAACTAGGAAAGACGATTCAAGCTGAGTGGGTGTTTGTGAAGTAGGGCGTTCTGACTCCCTGATAGCATCTAAGGAGAGAGAAAGTACTGGCCTGGCAGGAATGGTTTATTACCCTCTTTGCCTTTCTTTGTTTTGGGGACTGCAGGTCAAACCCAAGGCCTCAGGAAAGCTAGGCAAGTGCTCGACCTCTTGGTCTCTTACAGCAGATAACTCCGATTTGTTGGCCTCGAACCCTTGACCCTCCCCTCTCCCGCCTCCAGAGTGCTGGAACTCTGTGTGTATGCCACTATGCCTGGCAGAGTTCATTGTTTAAGAGAATGTTTTCTTTCCTGATTATATATTTTTTCTTTATCTATATTTAAAAATACGAACAATTGTGCATGCTGATACCAATTCTCTCTTTAAACACAAGATGGCACCAAAGGTCTAATCTTTGGGGAATAACAAAGCTGGATTTCCTTAAAAATACATTCACTATGTAATTATGTAAGCCTATAAGAACGGTGTTTAAATCCAATCACTCTGAAAGGACAGCACCGAAGAATGTGAAATGCATTAAATGAGTTTATGTAACTGGAAGAAAAGGTAGTCACTATTCTGAGAGAAAGATTATTTGTGTTTTACGAGTTTAAATACACACAACCAGATGAAAAACCCACAACCGGTTAAAATCAGATGGAAACGTAATACACACCAACTTCA